ATTATAGGTTTAATATACAGGAGTTTAATGCAAAAAAAAAAAAGGTAACAAAGGGCGATATAGCAAAAAATAAATAAATAAATCATAAAACCATCTTATTTGGTATCGATAACTATTTTATATTTTTTAACAAAACATTTAAGAATATTAGGATTTTTTGTTATTTAACCACTTTATTTTGTTTAACCAACGTTACTTAGACACATTGTTTTATATAGTCATAAACAAAATATTTAAACAATATCTGATTCTTTATAATAAATTAAGCATACTGTAAGTGTTAAAGAGACTCTTAAACTTTTTATAAGTGAATTGTTACAAAGTGTGTGCGACGTTAAAGGTAGATTAACATCTGTAAGGTGTCAATAATAATGATACAGTAAACCTCAATCTGTAAACAAAACAAATTATGATAAAGAAATCTGAGCTTTTAAGTAAAGGAACTAACCATTATTATTCATATACATACTGCAACATTACAAATTGTGAAGTTGGATGACTACATTACCCTACAAAATCTTTCAGATGGGGTGCTAGTGGCTGGGATGCTCAAGAAAAGAAACCAAAAAGCCACTTTACATATTTTATTTGCAATCTCCTAGTTGCTGCTATATGGCATAGCGGCATTTGTATTCCATACAAAGGGTAAAGCAGATTGGTTATTTCTACTTCCATGAATCGCAGCATTCGGAAAAGTCAGGTACACTAGGTGTATCTAGAAAATGCATGCTTGTCACATGCGGCATGCCTCCATTGGAAATGACAAACTTGTACCCTAAGCTTATTGGCATTCCTTCCAAGGCACTCTCTCAGCAGCCAAATTTTAATAAAATCACATTGATTCATACCAAACTTTTATACAAAACTTTTTTTTATCGTTATTGACAATAGTGTTCAATAAATACTGATACCAATTTTATTGCCCAGCCCTAGAAACACTTTACTTAAAGCGGTGTTCATAAGTGTGTTTATAATCATGGCATGACAAATACTAACAACACTGTTTTACACCGAAATTTTATAAAAATTTCATTTCTTTTTAAAATAGGGATCAAAACAATATTTCTGACACAATAATAATGGCCTCATGAAAATCACGTTTATGACAAGTTATGTTATGACATCTTGGTAATGTCAGGCTGTGATGACAAAGACATTGACAAATTGTTGTCTTGTAATGTTAAGTTGTGACGGTTTGTGATGTATTTGTTTATGTCAAGCTGTCATAACGAAGACATATCAAACAATGTCACATTTGCATTTTAAAATCTATTGACGCTTAACAACAGTTGTCATCAGTATTGTCATGCCATGATTATAAAGGTTGCGTGACCAGTGTTACATGGCGTGACAGCGCATTACATGAGTTGCATAATAATATTACTTTTTTAAAGTAGTGATTAAAGTACTATTTACTTTTAAAAATGAAGTAATAATATTTGAGTTACTTTTTTAAAAATGTAATGCGAGTTACTTTATAGTTTAGTTAATTCACTTTTAAAAAAGTAATTGCTGAACTAAAATCAACGTAGTTACATTGAATCCCGCACGCATTGAGAGAATGCAGCAACAGACAGAAATGAAGATTGCAGAGCTTTATGTTTCAGCGATGGAAATACTCATTATTTTAGACACATAGAAGAAAAGAGGACTATCTGAATGGATAGTGGTTTTACTTTTTAATAAGACAAAATGTCCAAAAGTAGCAAGCACATAAACCTTCATTAATCTGTAAATACGGCTCTGGGGTCAGGAAACTCTCTAAAGATAACATTAGATTTTTTACGTGTTTTATTTAAACGTAAATAGGTTATACAGTGTTCTGTTATTTGCAAAGCTCCTCTATTTAAAAAAAAAAGAAGAAGAAAAAACTCTTCTCTGAAAGAGATCAAGCCTCTGCCAGGTTGCAAAAGTAACATAACGCATTATAAAAATTAACTCAACAAGTTATTTTTTGGGGAGTAACTCAATAATGTAATGCATTACTTTCTAAAGTAACTTTCCCCAACATAGGTTGTGACATCCAAAACCAGAATTGAAACCAGAAATCTTAAATATTGTGCCTTTTTTACATTCATTCATTCATTCATTCATTCATTCATTCATTCATTCATTCATTCATTCATTCATTCATTCATTCATTCATTCATTCATTCATTCATTCATTCATTCATTCATTCATTCATTCATTCATTCATTCTCTAACTTTTTATGTCTGCTGTGAATATGACACATAAAATGCAGCTTCTGAGTGTAAAACAGTAATCTGTGTGTAAGGGCCTACTCATTCTATGCAATCCAAACCGTACCCAGGCCCGTTTCCTGGATTGTTTGAGAAGTGTGTGAGTGCTCTGAATCGGGCTCAGGCACGATTCACTTAGCTTTGAGCGTGGTTCACTTGGGCTTTGGCGCGTTACGCTTGTGTGTGAGTGCAAAATGCACCTAAACCCGAAACTGAAAGCGAGACGTGACTTAAGTCTGCGTGTGTGTGTGTGTGTGTGTGTGGCTAGACATGGATTGTAGGTTAATGTGCTGATGGTATGTGAGAGCGGTGGCATGTACACCTTTCATCAGGTTATCAACAAGTGCTCATGTGTGACTGGAGTCTGCTACTTGTGGACATGCTGCTTGGAATGACAGTGACGACTGACGCCTGAATGCAGTCAGCCTAAAAAGCCCTTTTCACCACCATGGAAGAAACCAGAGATTAGTCACAACTAAAGAGGAAATACACCCAACTAAAATCTCTGATCCTGTTGTAAGGTCCATCTTTCATCCCTTCAAGTCATTCTTGAGAAGACCAAATCATCCAGTTATTAGCTCTGCCACATTTGGCTACTGAGGATTTGAGTTTATGTTAAGTTTTTCATTATTATTCTGGTCATCCATGGAAATGAGTCATTTCATTTGTTTTAGTTCTTCCTTCCATTTTTTTCATCTCTTCAAATAGCAGGAACAACTGTGAGTGTGGCGTCCAATGAAAACAGACTCATTGCATCATAAAATTACTACTCCGCTTTTATAGTTGATGTGAGATTTTATTGTCTGTCTGTCAAGACTTTTTTTGGGGTTGGGAGGGGATTGCAAGGATGACCTTTCGTTGAGATGTACTTGAGGGGGAAGGGAAATTGAAGAAGTGAGTTTCCCTGGCTGTGTTGTGCAGGCGAAGGATGGAAAGTTAATCAAGGACTCTTTCTCTCCACCCTTTATGTCCTGTGGGGATCAGGTGGGAAAAATGCAGCTCTCCGTGGGAATGTTTCACCCCAGAATCATCCATCAGTAATGGCCCTCACTGTATTTTTGCACAACTGAGAAAGGTCATTTGTGGATGGCTCGGAAAGGGAAAAGTTAAGCCCTGGAGATTTGGACGGTTTGGAATTAGCCCTCTTTTATGTAATAGTAGGCATCTGATGGCATGATAACCTTGGATAAAATACCACGGTTTAACGGTTTACATTATTGTGATTACTGCTCTAATATATGCTGTATTTAAATGTCTGGGTAAAAAAAAAAAAAACTTTTTTCCCCTTTAAACACTATTTTATTTTGAGAAACATTTATAATTTTTTGGAACAGTAAACATGTCAGGCTAAATAATTCAAATGGATCTTTTACTTCTGTTGTCTTCATTTGTTTAAAAAAAAAACAGATTTCTTAACAATTTAAAGCAGCACCTTTGGATATCTTTTCTGCTGGAGATACTGTTGTCCTAAAAACTAAATAAAAATAAATTGATAAATAGCTAAAAAAATCCTACACATACCCAAGGAACTGTATATAAAAAAAATTTTGGCGGTATTAAAACCTTGACTTTTCCAAATCAAGGTATTCCTTGAAAACGGTTATCGTCCCACGCCTATACTTAATAGGCAACAAAAAACACTTGAAAAAATACTATAGTAATTTATAGTAAATGTTACGTATAATGTTTTTGAAAATTAACTGAAGTACTTGACTTAATCTGTTGTGGTAATACTATAGTTGATAAAGAAGTAGTTATATAGAATATATAGTAATATAAGCAAATGACACCATACTTACTTCCAGAGCCGTTTATATTAAAGCAGATCAACTAAACTAAAAAATCTTCCAAATCAATCTTAAATTAGGAATTATTTCCAAATAGAGCTATTATATTAATCTGGTGAAAGTATACTCTATTTCGCAGATGTAAAAATATGTATCGCTGAAAAATAAAATATTGCAATGTCAGTTTTTTTTCAATATCATGCAGCCCTAGTTTACTGTAATAAAAGCTGGAGTATATTTGGTATTTATTTATATATTGTATTTATTTATTACAGTTTATTTATTTCACTTAATACCACAATATGCTGAAGTATTCATTGTTGTACTATTATAGTACTGTATAGGTCAAAAACAATATAGTATTTACAATAAATTACTATAAAATATATGTTGTTAGTCATTTAGATAAAGCAATAATGCAAAATCTGAAGTGCTTAATTTTCTAGTAATAAATACTTAGGGCTTTATTTTAACGATCTAGGCGCAGAGTCCAAAGCACAAGGGGCAAAAGCATTAAGGGCATGTCCGAATGCACTTTTGCTATTTTAAGGACGGAAAAATCTGCTCTATGCTGCAGCGCATGGTCTAACTGTGCCTATTCTTTTAATGAGTTATGGGTGTGTTTTGAGAATAAACCAATCAGACTCTCATCTTTCATTCCCTTTAAGAGTCAGTTGCGTCGAACCATGGCGCATTTCCTATATACATGGTGGACTTTGTAAGTAGAAAAACTGAATGCATCATTAGCAAGAAAACAGTTAAACAGACCATCTGCAGCGCAAGGATAAAGAATAAGCCTCCTCAAATTAAGGTTGCGTTGTTCTGAAAATAGCAACACAACGGGGCAAACACGTCTTGCTCCTTGTGGTGCCGGATGTATGATAGGGCCCAAAGTCTTAATAATGAAGAAAAGTCATTAAAATAAAGCTGTTTATCCATATGAAGGTTGTTTTTTTTGTGTGTTTTTGCAGAGAGATTCAACACACATCTGAACATGTTTACACAAAGAGTGGATTTGCTTGAGCAGCTTTCTGGTTTGGTATCAAACAGCAGAAACGTTAGCCTCTATGAGGAGGATCAAGGTTGCCCAGTGCTGGACATTGGCCTGTACTCCACACTCACTATGCCCAGCCATGAAGCATTTGGATCAAGGTTTGTTGATTCCGTTATTCTAAAGTCTTAATGGTTTTTATATGTTGACAGGTCTTTCTAACACAAGTTCTAATTTTACTTAGAGCACCATTATCATCACTGTGTAAACTACAAAAATAGTGACATTTCTTGATGCTTTGACAACTTGATTAAGTTAACAATGAAAAATAGTGTGACAAAAGAAATATCCCAGAAATCACATTGTTCATAATCGGTTAGGCGATCAGTACTTGAATGCAGTGGCGCCCCCAGAAAATTTTCTTAGGGGTGGCCAGAAGAGGCCGCAACAAATCTTGGAGTGGCACACAAAAAAAAAAATAATGAATTCAGTGTAATGTTATATTTTTGTTTCTGGTAAATGAAATAATGTAGTTTTATTCATTTAATTAATTCTACTTGAAATATTGCAATTTATTCTTTGAAATAATTCAGCAAGTACATGTGCAAACCAAATAAAAATCTATGTTTAGTTTAAAAACACTTTTCATATACTGTATAAATGACTTCTTTTTTTACGTGCCTTTATTGTACATTATACGAGATATGCCATGTCTAAAATTAATGGAGATTAATGAGTTTATTATTCCCAGTGATGGGTTGCAGCTGGAAGGGCATCCGCTGTGTAAAAATGTGCTAGATAAGTTGGCGGTTCATTCTGCTGTGGTGACCCTGGATTAATAAAGGGACTAAGCCGAAAAGAAAATGAATGAAAGAATAATGAGTTTATTAATTACCCAAACAAATGAACAAACTGAACAAAAGGCATTACTATACACACTCATATACCTAATATTATTATTTATCCATATTGCTTTTTGAACCATTTTATTAATGCAGCTTCTTCTATTGATATACTGTAGCTTAAGGTAAATATTAAATAGCCATTGCTGTCTATTGAAGGTGTGTGCGTGCTGTCAAGGACGATCGGGGAGGGTAGTGGTGGTTCTAGTTTAAATGACACCCTGGGCGAACCACCCTATACACCCCCACCTCTCTTGAATTGTTAGATTTGTTATTCAATAAATATAACAATTTATTTATATTTATTCTAAATAAATACAATTAATATTAATATACAATTATTATTCTAAATAAATAACAGAAATCAGTCCTAAATATTACTGGAAAACAACAACTGGAGTGATATGCCAACATCACTTAAGAAACCTTTTGCATGAAAATTAATTATGACAATTCTAAAGAATAGAAAAAATGTATTATAGAATTACCTGTGGTCTTAGACCAGATCATGGCTGAGAAATCATGTTATGAAGTCTTACCTCCCTGACTCATTATCCCTCCTTTCTGCTTTAAAGGAATGCTTAGTGAAAGTAACATCATCATCATCATCATCGTCATCATCATATTATATAAACTTTAAACGACTTTCAAAACTCGCTGCGTGCCGACACTTCTGCACAAAAGGCTGTTACTCGGTTTCACGGCGCATGAGCGGTGCCTATTATGTCGGCGTGCATGCAAACAACCAACCGGGATTCACACAGGAGTGCGTGAGGCGCGCGCATGCGTCAGTTTGCTTTCACCAGCATTGAACCAGAGGGGGAGAGCTACGTCAGTAACACCAACAATAATTTAGTGACTGCATTTTATTTATTTATTTATGTATTTATTTATTTATCTAAATATTGGGAATTTATAAGTTCATTTAAATCAATAATGTCAACCGCAAAATTATATTGGGGTGGCCAAAGGGGTGGCCACAGGGGTGGCCAGAGTTTACCGAGGGGTGGCCGTGGCCACCCCTGGCCACCCCTTGGAGGCGCCCCTGCTTGAATGAGCTAAAATACTGCTGCCGTTAAGATTCTGAATTGTGCGTACGATTGTACAACCATGAAGAAGTTTAGTTTTACCATCAGTTGAGTCAATTGCATTTGAAATATTTATTTAAAAATACGAAAATATAAAAATATAAAAGTTTGAATTTGAATAATATCAATGGGGTTGCTGTTTATCCTGTCTTTTTCTGAAATAAAATGCAGCCTTATGTGAATCTTTTTTCTTTTATCTGATGACAAATACTTAAATGATATATTGTATGTACAGTATGTAAGTTTTATTTCTTAAAATGATCACATGACTGAAATCATATCTTCTCGAATCATTTCTCAGCTTTGCAGATGAGTTCAGTGTGCTGATTCAACTGCGAAGCTCTCAGGACGTCGAGCGAAGTCTGTTGACTTTGCTGAACTTCTACAATCACATTTTACTCCAGATCCGAATTGGCCCACACAGCATCACCTTCATCACCACTCAACGCCGGGACTATGAGTACAAACACCATTTAACACGTGACACTGACCACAAAGCTTTAGCTGATATTAAAATAACACAGCTCTTTTAATAGTGTGCTTGAACCCCCATTATGCTGTCATCTGTCTCGTGAACGTCAGCATAATTCTCTTTTCAGGTTTTCAGTGTCAGGACTGGCAGACTCGCAGTGGCACTGGATCTCGATTGGGGTTGCGTTTGAATGGCTGGCTGTATATGTGGACTGCGTGCTGGTGGAGAAAGTCAGCTGGATGTACCCGTACATGGGCATCACTACAGATGGTCTACTTATGGTCGGCGGCATCCTGGAAGGGTTTGAGACCCCTTTTGAGGTATTCTTTATGCGCAATGAGCATGAAGGATGTGATGATGTGACTATTGGTCAGTGTCAAGAATTTATTGTGCCTGAGGAATAGCAGCCTTCCCCTATGTCATTTGTTCAAAGGGTTACAGATATAGTAAATCAGCCTATGATTTACCATTCCCTCAAGGCTTCCTAGGTTTACAATGACAACATAGGAAGTGGAGTTTTTCAAAATCATCCTAGAACAAAACTGAGTATTTTTCAATCGTTTCAGGACAACTTTGATAAAAGGTTTTGATCCACTTCAAATTTTGATTACTGCATTATTTCACTTCAGTCAAATCCAGTCAAAGTTATTTAAAAAAAAATCATATGCTTTTATGGCTCTACAAGTAACAACATGTAGGTGTTTTTCTGCAACGGTCCACCTTTATAAACAGTCTTGTGTTTCTTCTTGCGAGACACTGCGATTGTGCATTTTGAGTGCATTTAGGGTTTACCTGCGGTGGCCAAGAGAGCTTAACGTGCTGCAGTTTAAGAAAAATGTGTAATTACAAAAAAAATGCCTGCAAATTAAGAAAAGATCTTCAGCCATTTAACAGCACACATGCTACAAATCCAACATATACACATAAAAAAGCGCGCTGCATTTTCCCACAACGCAAACAAATTAATAAAACGCATTGCATTTTCTCACAGCACAAACAATTTAAGAAAACGCCTTGCATTTTCTCTCAACTTGTGCGAAAACATTGCAACAGAATGGAAATGTTTCAAATGGACCCAAAATCGTGACTAATGCTACTGTGCCGTGATTATTGCTCAGTGAAGTTGCAGGTTATCTTTGAAAGGTGAAATTTTTTTGTTTGTTTATTTCAACATCCTGATTCCCTTGTCTTTTTAATTTTATTAGCCTAAATAAACCATATCCTAAATAGCTGGGTCTGTCATGATTTAGGCTCCTTTTGAAACATTTCATTGTGTTCCGAGCTATGAAAGTTTTTTTTTTTTTGATGAAATGCAGCGTGTTTTCATAAACTGTTTGCGCTGTGGGAAAATGCAGCGCGTTTTTTAAAAATGTGTTTTGTGAGGATATGCAGAACGTGTGCTGTCAAATGGATGAAGATCTTTTATTGATTTGCTTGCATTTTTTGTAATGGCATGTGTTTTTTTTTTTTTAAATAGCAGCTTGTTAAGCTCTCTCGGCCACCATATTTACCAGCTGGACAGAAATGCATTTTGTTTTTCTTCTTTTTAACAGTGCCTTAAATTTACACTCCTGTCCTGCTGGTGGCACTAAATGCACCAAAAAGAAGATGGCCACAGTCTCTCTATCGAAGTTACACAAAACTCTTTAAATATTTTAAAAAGGATCTTTTACTTACAAAAAACAAATTGATTAGCTACAGAAGAGCATCGTTCACCTCCTTGTAGTCTTTTTGTTGTGGATGGATCCGCTTTGTAGGACTTCTTTCTGACTGTTGAAGAAAAACATACTGCAGATATGAAAACGATTTCACCTTTTTTATTTTATTTGGACTTTGTTAAATATTGTGGGGATGCACAGTATTGAACGTTTGTCGATATTTTTTTCTTTTGACTCAAATGATGGCAGTATGTTTTTTTGTTTTTGTTTTTGAGAAGTGTTCATTTACAGGTTATGGTGGTCCCTTGTTATTCACAGGAGTTACGTTCTAAAAATAGCCCGCAATAGGTTAAATCCGCAAAATAATCAGCTTTAGTTTTTAGAATTAGTATAGATGTTTCAAGGCTGTAAAACCCCTTTCTGCACAGTTTATACACTTTTCTCAGACAGGCATTAACATTTTCACACTTTTCTCTTTTGTTTAAACTCTCTTAAAGTTTCAACTTTCTTGGGAAAGTAAGTCCAGTATTATAGAATGAAACCAAAGACCAAAACCTGTTGTCAGGTGCAAGCATGCATTGCTGTCAGCAAAAGGTTCATACAGCTTTTTAGCATTTGTGCGTATAATGTTGACATCCAGGTGAATATTCGTTTTCCTGCAGTCACTGATCTACAAAACTAAACTCCATTCATAAAGGGGTTCACACATCGGATGATTGTTGGAAGTAGCACACATCGGACACACACATTCGCATGTTATTTAAAATGAAGTCATTCAGATGGCATTCTGTGGCGCGACAGAAATATCCAGTGTGTTAAAAGATGTGTGCACATTTGGTGTGCGACCCCCTAATGATGGTCTTGCTGCGGAAAGTTACAACCCTTTTTGCATCCTTGTTTAAACTCACACCACTAGCAATCAAAGATTAATGTTTTGCAAGCTGAACTCATTCTGTACTGTAAGAGGACACTGAGGAGATTGATTGACAATGGTCGACAACCAATCAGGGCACAAAGCACAATGCGCTGTAAAAAAAATAATAATAAAAAAATGCATGTCAAATTGCACTAGAAATTTGCAAAACTGCAAGGCTGCGAAAAGTTAACCGCTTTATCGCGAGGGACCACTGTCACTGTACTTTTAAAGGATAGGTTCAAGATTTTTTGTAAAGAAATTAAATACAAAATTAATAAATTAGACGTGTGATTTTGTGACCCCATTGATTCTTTGTTCCTAGATATAACTAACTCTTTTCTTAAATTTTTATTAGTGTAATACAGCAACCCCTGAATAAACTTCTCACTGGGCAGGCACTAGGACCCAGTGGCAGGCTGCTCGGCTGGCTGGAGGCTGCTATCTCCATAGTGCTTTTACAATGTAGATTGTGTCAAAGCAGCTTCAAGTAAATTAAAAATATGTCAAAGATCAGTTCAGTGTAGTTAATTATTTAATTCGAGCCATGCGCATCTTCACAAGTTCAAAACCAAGCAAGCAAGTAGTGGGGAACAAACTTCACCAATTGACAAAACAAAAGTGAAGAAAAAAAAAAACATTGAGAGAAACCAGGCTCAGTTAATAAAGCAGATACTGAATTAAGTTCTGATTGGTGTCACAGCCAATCCTCTTTTATACATTTTGACCAATATATCAAACATGACTAATTACTAACATCTAACCTGACTAATTACTGAGCGATATTGTACACGGAGTTATTCTGTACTCGCATATGGCGGTTTAAGTAATTCAATCATTTACTCTAAATTACTGATAAAAGTCCACTTCAGACTGCTGATCTGGTCTTAGTATGAGTGGTGTCTTTCTCAGTCACTCGCGCACATTGAATTAGCCACACGTGCTTATTAGCATGTCGCGATAGACACAGAATTAAAAAATCGTATTGTGGTCGACAGTTTATTCTGTTTTAGCAATATACCATCATACCATCCAGACCTACCCTTTACCATTTTAAAGCTGGAAAAGCACAAGATATATACTTTTAAAATAACTTTGATTGGATTCGACTGAATAAACAAAGTCATATACATCTAAATGCTATCTTGAGGGTGAGTAAATCAAGCTTTTCATTTTTGGATGAACCCTATAATACTGTGAATATATCTTACTACAATACTGTGGCTTAGAGAATAATTATTAGAGAAACAAGAGCTATCCTGCTAATGTATCACAAGCAGTTCTTCCATGGGAAACAAGTCTGGCTGCCACACCAATGTTCAGATGTGAAAACCATCATCTCACTGGCTTCAACTTGAAAAGAGTGATCAGGCTGTATGCCAAGAGTTTCAAAGGCACTGAATGCCTACAGTAAGGTTTTTTTCATCATGGTGACTGTGGTATCAGGTTCACCATTCATCCTAAGTCAATGAGACATGTGAGTGAACGATTGACCAGCACTTTTGTGAATGAATCATTATGCCAATGATGTCATGGCTCAGATTTGTCTTTGAGGCCGGTGTCTGTCTTTACAGGGAGAGCTGAGACAGATGACCTTCATAATGGGAGATGCAAATGCTGCCAAGGATCATTGTGAGCTTCATCAGCATATGTGTGGACACAGCCTTTTTAAGATGGAAAGTAGCGCTGAGGTAGAGTCGAGCACTTTAAACTTAAAACTAATTTTGTCAACTGTTTACAAACAGGTTGTTTTTTTGTAGAATGTTCTTAGAGCTTTTACAATGAACAATTGCAAAAAAAATTAGATTATATTTAAACATACATTTCATATACACACATCAATCCTGTTTCTGGAGATCTACCTTTCCTGCAGATCCATGCCAAACACATCTGCCTGTAATTATCAAGTACTGTTCAGGTTTTAATTAATTCTTTCATGTGTGTTTGGTTCTATTACTCTATAGGAAGATATAGCTCCAGGAACAGGGTTGAGCTTTACAGTTTCAGCACTTTTTAGTCTATAACAGGGGTGTCAAAACTCGGTCCCGATGGCTGGTGTCCCGCAAAGTTTGGTTTCAACTCACCCCAATCAGACACACCTGGGCTAGCTAATCAAGCTCTAGTGCTGTGGTCACACTGCACTTTTTGCCCCATAGGCTTCCCTTCATATTCACACAAATGCGGCAGACCGGAAACACAAGTTTCGCAGTTCGCTGTGTTGGAAAGTTCAAGCTTGGTGAACTTTAACCTGCGAAATCGCATCAAGTGATTGCGTGAAACCAATTGAAGATCAAAACATGATCTCTCTGGACCGAAATGTAAAATATGGACCAATCGCTCGCTTTTTAAAATGTCTAATCATCTTGTTTAAGCATGCCCCTTTTCGCAGTGCTGTACAACTGAATTTTGCACACACAAACTCTGTGACTGCAGCATTGCTTGGCTTTTAGAAAATATTCGTCCAAGTGTGTTGAGGCAAGTTGGAGCTAAAATCTGCAGGACAATGGCCCTCCAGGACCAGGTTTAGGCACCCCTGGTTTGCTGATTGAACATTAGCAAAATGTATTCTAACAGGAGTTTTTTTTTTTGTTCTGTTCTGTTTGTCTACAAGCACAGTTTCTGAACTTAAGTGGCTTGATTGTAGTCCTGAGTTTTTTTTTCTGTGAACATATTAGCCCACCACAAGGAGACTCTCAAAATGTTTGAGCTCTGCTTTTTAAGATGCATTTGACAGTTAAGGCAAAATAGAATTCACATTGTTGTTCTCACAAAGCCCTATATAAGAGATTTAAATGGGCAGTTTACTGCCATCCTTTGTTTGAAACGCGTGCAGGGAAGCGGCAGCTAATTTACTGATTTTGCTTCTTCCTAAATGGGGGATGTATAGCATGGTTTAATTGATCTTTAATTATAATTATATACTGAGAACTGAAATAAGGTTAGCATTAATAGCTAAAAGTGTGGCAGAGTGTTGCTATTATGTGATTGTATTGTATTGCAATATAAAACAATTAAGTGTTGATGTAAAATCAAAAGTAATTCCTAAATACTTGAAAATGAAGTGATTTGATGACAATATCGTGCTACGGTTACAACTGAATTAGTTACAAAATATCTTTATAAAAAGATAAAACATAACATGATAAAAACATATGATAATAATCCCAATAAACCCAGTTTAAATTCAATTCATGTTTATTTATTTAGCACTTTTACAATGTAGATTGTGTCAAAGCCACTTTACATAGAAGTTCTAGTGAAGTCCATATTTCAGAGTTAAAGTTTAGTTTTGTTCAGTTCAGTGTGGTTTAAATTTCACCGCTGAATGTTCAAACACTGAAGACCAAATCCAGTGATGCTCATTTTTAAATGTAAAACAAAGTTACCTGAGAGAGAGAGAGAAGAGAAAGAGAGATTGATTTTGATTTTGCAAATTATTAAACAATTGCTTTACAGCTCAAATCAAATCATTTATAAAATACAACTCCTCATTAATGATAGAACACAACCCATCATCGCAACACCATTCAATTTTAAACACATTAATTGCCTTCATCATTTTATAGTAATTAAAATCAACAATAATTCTTGATTTTACTAGGTTTTTTAAAAACTACTGCAATATTTTTAGAAGTACTTCATTTTGTCTTGTAATATAAAAAGCTGATTTGGCTTGACCAATTCTAAAATTCATCAATTGACATTTATATTTTACATAGAAGTTCTAGTGCAGTCCAGATTTCAAAGTTGAAGTTCAGTTTAGTTTAGTTCAGTTCAGTGTGGTTTAAATTTCACCGCTGAACCAGAGAGTAGGCCAGAGAGTAGGCCTGATAGCAGTAGAGTCAGAGAAGATGAACTTTAGAGCAGAAAAAGAGACCAGAGCAAAGTTTACCACCTTATTTTGTATCTTTTTTTGACCATGTGACCAAAGCCTACGGAGACATACAAACTGACCAATCAACATGTGACCCCGTCATAAAAAGTCCAGACACATCTTAACCAGTCCCTGATCTTATCAGTATCTGCCTTCAGAGTCTGTATGGACCTTCTTGATGAAAAAGACATGTTTGCAATATAAACAAACGCATATGATAACTTGCACTCTTACACCATGTTAGTGTTTCGTAACATCAAAGTTTTTCGAGGTGAGTTGTTAACTCGACGCTCATCATTGGCACAAAAATGACAAACACAATTCTTTTAAAATCTTGTACCATTTAAAAATTATGTTTTACTGACATCTTTGCCTCTATTTCCCCAACAGGGCCCTTTGCCACCCTCAGCTGGCTCAACAGCAGACACAACGTTCACATCAGATCCCTCCACTGCCACAGATGACACAGCCAATATGCATTCAGTTCCCGAGCTCAGGCCTGAACCCAGAGAATCACATGGTTTGGTAAGAGACAATAAGAGACATCCCAATGTTAATTACAGACCCTCATTTTTACGAGCGATCTGTGTATGAATTATAGCATAAAAGCTCAGAGAAACAGTTCCACGGTGAGTAATTATGCAGCTATGAATGGACAAAGCCAGAGTACAATGTGGGGAGAATGAACCTCAGCTGGAGAAGACGGATGACTTCAGAGGTCAGGAAATTGAATAAATGGGTAAGAAGGGATCCCTAGGTCCTCTCATTTGTCCTTATAAAGCTGTTGCTGTATTTTCCTTCATGGGGAGGGCGATGATAAATTATCATCATGGGAACCGTCCTGTTTCAGCGCAGTGCTGTAACAGAGAGAAGCTGTGCCGAGATGGTGGGTCGTGTTTGATAAACGCCCCATCTGGGAAAGAGCGGGCAGCTTGAGAGTTTGCTGGCGCACTCCAGGAACAGCTCCAATGCTTGCAAATTGCCTGGAAATTCATTAGACTCCTTTATTGCTTTGCACTTGAGGTGAGCTCTGTGCACAGCAAGGCATTCGTTCAGAAGTTTACTGGGCTTATATTTGACATATATTAGGATTCGACTGCATTTATGATTGCGGCTACAATGTTGGACACTGTCTGTATAGGTGGCTGTGGGTGTGGGCTCTGATACTTGCAGCTTTAATGAGACGTCCTGCCCATGTAAAAACACCCACCTGGAGGACCAAAAAAGACTTTCTTCCAATGACGGCCGTTCATACTAAGACAGTATTATTTTAAAAAGGACCAAATTCTGAATACACTGATTGATGCAAAGATGTAAAGTTTAACAGTTTCACTCGGAACACAATGTGCTAAATTATGTGTTAGGCATTTAACATGGATGGCCATAAAAGAGATGATGCTGAATGTGGTTTAATTTAACCTACTAGGGCTTAGTGGCCACATACATGGACAGCACATTTTAGCTCTTAAGTGGCTATTTAAAATACTTTGAATCTTTTAGATTTTGTTACAGACATACAGTGTCATCCTGCAACTGTTTTGCAGCATATGAAATGTCGCAAACACTGTTTTTAACTGTCTAAAATGGGCAAAAAATTTAGTTTTTACTCTCTGATAGTCAAAACATGAAAAAAAAATTTGATGTTATATATGCATAAAAAAACAGGCAGGAAAAAAGTCTTTTATGTAAATTTGGACCACGAGTCCACATATATGGACAAAATTTTTCTCTAAAAGTACATCACATCAAAAGATGATACTTAGGTTTTTATTCTAATTAGGTTCCAATAAGCCCTAACAGCAAAGAGAAATAAAAACTGCATGTTAAAAAAATGCTGACGCAGTGGCGCAGTAGGTAGTGCTGTCGCCTCACAGCAAGAAGGTCGCTGGTTCGAGCCTCTGCTGGGTCAGTTGGCGTTTCTGTGTGGAGTTTGCATGTGCTTCCTGGGTTTGCGTGGGTTTCCTCCGAGTGCTCTGGTTTCCCACACAGTCCAAAGACATGCGGTACAGGTGAATTGGGTAGGCTAAATTGTCCATAGTGTTTGAGTGTGAATGATTGAGTGTGGTTGTATCCCAGACATAGGGTGTGGCTGGAAGGGCATCCGCTGCGTAAAAACATGCTGGATAAGTTGCTGGTTCATTCCGCTGCGGTTTTCCACAATTGTTTTTGAACTTGCATGCATATCAGCCTATTGTTGGAGACATCATTTATACATGACCCTTTATAATGCAAAATAGGGGCTCTTTAAATTAAAAGGATAGTTTACCCTAATAAGTATAATTTTTTTATTGTTTACTCAGCAGTTTTTCAAACCTGTTTGAGTTTAGATCTCCTGTAGAATAAAAAAAAAAAGATATTTTGAAGAATGTTGGAAACGGGTATCCATAGAGTTCTATATATTTTTTTCCTTCTATGAAATCGGTTGCTACTGGTTTTAAATGTTCTTCAAAATATATACTTTTGTGTTATTTGAGGAAATAAACTTATTGGTCGCATTTGGAACCAATGGTCGGAGAGTAAATAGGTGCATTTCTATTTTTGGTTGAAGTGTCCTTTAACTGTTTTACACCTTAAACACTTTGTACAAAAATATGCATATATGCACAAATAAATATACATATATAAGCTTTTAGAATAATAATATTTTTTTGTTTTCTTCGGGTTCATAACAAAATAATACAAACACGTATTACAAATGGTCACTGGTGGCCTACTAAATGTAAAGCCAGAATGTACACAGCGGTTACTATGGATAAAGTACAATGTTATTAAAAGGAAAAAAAAAAACCTGGTGAGTAGTTTTAAATTGTGTTACAAGACACAGTCACAGAATACTAAAATTCTTTGTCCTTATTATGTAATTTGCAAATTTGCGAAATGTGCAAATTACGTAATTTTATGATATGTAAAATTATGTAATTTTGCTAATTTTGTCCTTATAATGTAATTTGAGGCCTATATATATATATATATATATATATATATATAAATATATATATATATATATATATGTATTTTTTTTTTTTTTATATATATATATATATTATTTTCATTCTAAAATGCGATAAATTGCTATTAATTTTTGCCTAGTCAACCCGTGTTGATGTGGGTTTCCCCATCAGTTCAAAGACATGCTATAGAGCACAGGTGTCAAACTCAGTTCCAAAAGGGCCGCAGCTCTGCACAGTTTAGTTCCAACCCTAATTAAACACACCTGATCAAACTAATTGAGTCCTTCAGGCTTGTTTGAAACCTACAGGTAAGTGTGTTGGAGCAGGGTTGGAACTAAACTGTGCAGGACTTCGGCCCTCCAGGAATTGAGTTTGACACCCCTGCTATAGAGGAATTGAATAAACTAAATTGGCTGTAGTGTATGAAGAATGTATGGGTGTTTCCCAGTATTGGGTTGCGGCTGGAAGGGCATCCGCTGTGTAACATATGCCAGAATAGTTTGTGGTTTATTCCTGCATGGGCGACCTTTGAAATAGAGACAAAGTTGAAGAAAAATGAATGAATGAATTTTATTTTGTTACACCAGAATTTGGACCCGTCTCATATTCCAAAGCATACTGGAATGATCATCACTTTATTATGAACATAGTTGGAACAAGTCTCCAAAAACCAAGTGAAGCCAAATCCTTTTGGCCCAAAGTATTCTATAATATGGGAAGTGAGATAACGACAACCATTCAGTTATAATCTCACACACTGGCACAAAAACAGCTGTGTTTAACAAAAATAAATCTTTAAGTTTAATGATTGAGGTGAATCTCCATTACGCATCTTTCCCCATGGGAAGATGTATCTGGATTTCGTTTTATTTAAAGTGTAATTGAGGTTGACTTTATATGATGTCTGTTATCAGCTAAACTTTGTCTACTGCACTGAACTACTTGAGTATACTGCCACATTTTTTAAAACACCTCCTTTCATAAGCACCAGGTAATGGGCTTTATTTTTGCAGATATAGTCTAAGATATTGAAAGTTTTCCCCCTGAACTCTCGATCATTTCTGTGTGGAGTAATTATAGACGAGGCAGAGGAACTGTGGGAGTTCTGTTCTGCACATGTCAATCAGCACAGCATGGAAATGTTCTTGGAAATGTTTGTCTATCATCCATTTATTCTGGCTTCATAAAGGTTAGACATGCAATTACAATCTCTGCACTATAATTTAGCGCAGCCTTCTGAAGCTAAAATAAGTCTTAAAGTAGTTATAAACTTAGGAAAAGTGTCAAGTTTTTGAATATTCAGCTTGGGAAATTCTAACAGTTTTTAAAAAAAAATAAATAAATAAATAAATGTGGCTACACTATTTTGTGGTTTAAAGGCCCAAGGAAATTAAATATTAATATCAGTATCGTTCGTTTTTAAGATCTTTATTAGTTAGTGTGCTCCAAAACAAAAATTCGGATTTAGAAGATATTAAACTGATATAAACATGCAAAGCTTGTAGTTTGTCATTTTTGCCAATATGGGGCAAAAAAAATTTCACGTTACCTCATACTACAGTTTCTCATCAAATCATAACCAATCAAATACTCTCTAGTATCTGGCATGGCCTGCCCTCTTTCAAGACGCTTCTCATTTGATGCGCTTGAGCTCAATCGCTCTCACTGGTAGAGCAGTGTCGAAACTAAATGCTTTTGTCTTTTTTTTTAAGGGGAGGGGCTACACTATGCCTCTCTTCGTGTGTTGGTAGAAATGACATCAAAAATGCATATTTCAAAGCATATCACAGGACCTTTAAGTACTGGTTTTTATTAATGCAATTATGCATTATTATTTATTATTATTATTATTACACTTCAGACTTTCTTTATTATCCACAAGTAGACATTTGTCTTTGGCTTCAGCACATAGTTACATTCAACATCACGTTCCATAAAAAAGCAGGATAAAGCAGAGATTCAGTTTATGAGTCAAAATAGCAAGTAAGGTTATTTGATGTATTTGTGTGTGATTTATGGTTGCAGAAGGGCTCAAATAAACTCCTTAACAAATACATCAAATAACTTTATACTTGGTATTTTGACTCACAAACTGAATCTCTGCTTCATCCGCGTCCGTCTCTGTGAATGACTGCTGTTTATTTGACTTAATGCAGCAGTAGAAACAGATTCGCTTGTGGGAACATTGGGTGGGGAGAGCCATCTCATTTAAATTAAAAGGCACAAGCAACAAAAACAACTACAATGCCAACTTTTACAATCTACAACTTACCCCAAAATTCATAGATTCAGCATGGACTAATAAATGATCTGATGCGTATTTTGAACTGAAAGTTTACAGACCCGTTCTGGACAGCCAATTCGAATGTTATCACTCGATTGAATGAGCATTGGACCAGTAGGGCCTTCTGCACCTACTGGTAGGCTTAGAAGGCTGTTATCATTCATCCACATGGTTAATCAGCTATAGATCACATACCACTGCGACCGTAAATTAACAATAATTATTTCTATTAATTATTAAATTTGCCATTAATTGTATTTTATTAACACCCACCCCTACTCCAACCCTAA